TATAATATTATACATATTTTGTGGATACATCCTTTTTTTGTATTGCTGGCACACAATTAGCTGTTCATGTAAGGTCACTATCCATTTGCACAAAACACAGTAACTGGTAAGCGGAAGACAACAAAATCTGAAAAGTGTGGCATGTAGTTGTATTGAGCCCATTTTACAGTGATGCACTTGAATAAAATCAGCTGCCAGAAGTGAGTCAAACATAGTCGCCTTGAATTTAATTTGGTTAGCAAGATACTTTGAGTGTTTCTAACTGTCTTTTGCACAGTTTTATTCAATGCATAACAACCTATAACAAGATAGATATTTGATTTTTGAAAACAGTAATAACCATGCAGTTTTACAATCAAATCAATCTTAAATAGTTTATTTAAAAAATATTTACAAGCTATGAATGGTAAAAATGAGACATTTAAAATGTAATGTATAAAATATAATGTATAACATGTTCATGTTAAGTTCCCAGCCTTATAAAATCAAAAGTATAAAAGGATGATGTTTCTTTAAATGGGTGACTCATATAAATATGAAATTATGAACAGAAATACAGCTGTCTAAAACTTTTGCAAACGCAAATGTATTCAAGTATTCCTTTCTAAAATATTCATTACGTCCCGACTTCTTCCTTGGCTGCACTCACACAACCTGAGGAGAAGCTCTGAGGGACATATTATGGTTTGCCTTTAAATAATTATTCATTTGCATAAATATGAATAAATAATAACATTTAAAAAAACTCCTCTGTGGTTCTAATTTAATACAGTTTAAAGATTTAAAAAGAACAGCACAGCATGCTGGAACAAACATCAAAATGCAGTTAAATTAGATAAAATCATTGTTATGTGTGATGATGTATGTTACATCTAAAGGAAATGTCATTCCAATAAATGCCACAACTCAATCTTACAAAATAGATTTTTCTATTTGCATGTAAAGCAGGACACAAGCCTGATGTATGTGTTTATATGATATAATGAGGGAAATTTGTTTGCAAAGGGCAACTCATTCACTCCAAGCCTTGAAAGCGCAGAAACCCACTTAACACTGACATCTGAGCGCTGAAAAGGTTGACACGTTAACAGCCACCAACATAAAACACTCTGCTGCTTTGTTCACTGCCTGCTGACCTGCAGGTCACTTATTCAATCAGTAATTTTCCATCATCACGCCTGTGAGCTGGTTGCAAAACTGACCTACCTGCTGCTGGGAAGATTTAAAAAGCTCTGCGTCTTCTTTCATTCATACAAAATCGGCTCAAACCAATTAACTAGAAATATGCAAATGGAAAAAAAGATTTATTTGCTTTTGTCTTTCAAAAAGATTTGCTTTTTTCATGCTGTTTTCAGCGTTTGCATCCGGATTACTTCTCTTTGCCGAGAAATATAAGCCAGTGCTTGAGGCAGAGTGCTGTAGAGATTTGCATATTGTATCTCCTCTCTTGTTGTTGAAGTCAGCAGCGAGCAAATAAATAAATAAAGTCCTGAGCTAGAAAGGCCGGGCAGAGAACAGGGAACAAGACTTTTGCTTATTTCCTCAACCAAAAATTCATAATTAACATGTTCGACGCAGAGGCTGCAGTTGTCAAGGTAACTGATGACACCGCATTATCACTTGGCACTGCTGCACCCTCCATCCTCCCTGTTTCCTCCCATTCATCAAGCTGCCATTGAACAGATCGTAGCAGGGAGAAAAAGGGGGAGGCAGACCCTTCCCTAAAGAGCTCCTGCTTACTCAGAAAGACAAGTTTGCACCATTTTAATCTGGTATTAACTTTATAAAGTTGTTTACTGCAACACATTATTATAGAAAACATCGAGCCCAGAATTACAACAAGGAAGTACAACAAATCTTCTTGTTATTGAAAGGTATATATCAGTAAAAACATTATGCAGTCTCACCCTGAGCATTTTATTCTAGAGGAGCAGTATTAAGTACAATAGACTTTTTGGAGCTTTACATCATGTTATAATTTTATTCCCTCATCAATTACATACCTCTCTCATTCATTGTTGAAAAATCCTTTAATCTGTCCTGGCAACCATTCAGCTGTGCAAAATGCATGGATGGCCGTAGCCCCGCCTTCAAAACACAGCTCCTCCTCTATCACTCATGATATCTGGGAATGTTCACTTCATTGTTCTTCAAACTGCAGAAATGTAATCCTTTCAATTGATTGTGGAATTGTCAATCGAGGTGCAGAATCGTCTTAAAGCATACCTTGCTGTGTTTTCCTGATAATAGTAACATTTTATAGAAGTGGTGTCATTAGGAGCAGCTAAAACTATCAGTTCGTAACACAAGCTTGATACAAAATATAAAAAAATAAGGACAAAACAAAGTGAACAATCACACAAAAGCAAATAGTATTTTAATTTTTGGTAAACTGATTTATTTTTGAAACCATGAGCCACCTGCTGGTGATTAATTTAGATGTGAGGGCTGATGACGTCTTTTTATTTTGTTTTTCCAAGTTGCAAAATGAAATCTAGCACTTTTCATACAATTAGAAAAACTCAAAGGCCTGTATTTTAACTCCTGGCTCCTCCTGCCAGAATGGTCTGGTCTGCTATGAATTGACAAAAATGACAAAGTGTGAGAGAAACGCTCATATGAGAGTGTGCAACTAAAAAGTCCCAAACAGAACAATGTGTTTCATGGCGATGCTGCCAAGTCCAGGAGGAAAAGCCTGGACTACAAATGAGACACTGCAGGCAGTACAGAGGCAGACTGCTCTGTGGGAGATAACTCCTTTGTTTATCTAGGCTTTGATTCATTCTGAAATATCCACACAAATTAAAGTCTGCTGTACTGTGGGAAAGTCCCGTCTAATTTCTTAATATTTTGCTTTAAATGAGCCAGCCATCCGGCGTTCCTTCAGTACCAAGTACTTCTTTTAGCTTCTAAATTTTTAAAAGTTTGCAAAATGAAAATTGCAGACTTCTGAAATGTTAGATTTGATGTCATTGATGTACGGAGTTGCATTGAAGGTACACCTACTGACTTGTTTTGAGTCAAGCCGAGCAATAGAGGTTTGACGAGGATGTTTAATTACTCCCCTGGAATGAATCATCACTCTTTCAAAAGACGCATCCAAATCACAAGGAACTTCCTGCTCCGCTTTCATGTCGGTATTCAGCAGGGACTGTCATCCATGCAGCTGCGAGTGAAACCCCAAACCTCTATGGGCGGTGTTATTTTTGAGAGATTGCCTTCAGTGGGTCTAATTTCAGACATTTATTGCAAAGTTATGAATGGGTCTAGATTTAAAGCAAAACTACAAAGAAAGAAAAACTAAATTAGAAGGCAGGTAAGATTGTTCTGTATATTAATCCTCGTGTCTCAAGTGAGAAACTTTAGCAGACATTGATAAAAATTACAGAATAAATTTAGTGGTTATTGATAAAAACTACATGCAGATCCACAAAATTCAAGTTGAAAGCAAAAAATAATTACTATCAAAGAAGTCAGCACATTTTCTCAGGTTAAAATACATTAGACAACATACAAATATGTTGACAGGGGGGAAGTCATTGCTCACACTAAACATTTTGATTAGAAATATGACAGAAATAAATGGTGCATAATGTCAAAAACCTCAATACTTTTTTTCTCTGTGCTACAAGGCCACAACTTTTGCAAATTCAAAGGAAACTGTTGATACAAATGAAACAGGCTGGCCATGAGCAATATGAAAAGAAATTCTGATCGGCTCTGTTGCATTCCTGGAAATGAAACTCCACTTTGCTGAATAAGAAACAGCTTCAGTGTTAATGGCAGGCAGCACTAGAGGATGATAAGAGTCTTTGAAGACCTTTTTACAAGCCGTCCTTTTCCCAGGAGTTTAAAAAACCCAATTTTAACTTGACTGTATCTGAAATACAAATATAAGTGAGTTGAGTGGATGATGGAAATGAAACAAGCTGGCCATGAGCAATATAAAAGAGAATTGGGTACATTCCTGGAACTCATGGATGTATTGCTTCATTAACAGTAACTAAATCATGTAATGATCCATTTGTCTGAGAATTAACATTTACATCCTACTAGCAAGACAGAAAGCATAGTATTTGTTAACTGTTGTGCAAACTACTGCAAGAGTGTATTCTCAACTAGATGTGCACAAATATGTGACCAGTATATTACAGTTTCAAATAAACTGTTAATATTTGATGCATGTAATGAATATTGAGAATGGAAAAGTTGAAGAAGGCGTAGTTTTTCCATGATGTTTCAGCTTAAGGGAATGTTCTACTTGATTCCTCCACCTTCAATACAATCCTACTTCCACAATAAAACAGCCCAAATGTTGACCAAAAGTAACCCAATATCTGTGTGCAGCAGTTGTTTGGACATCTAGGCCTATTAATAAAAACGATGCGCAAAAGAACAGTTTCCTTGCAGTTCATGGGTCTTTCTGCATATTCTCCCTGCTGATGCTTGGGTTCTCTCTGGGTACTCTGGCTTCTTGCCACAGTTCAAAAACATGACAATGATGTTAATTGGTCCCTCTAAATTGGTGTGAGTGTGTGAGCAAATGTTCTGACTATCTTTGTGTTTCCCGTCCTGGACCTGCCTCTCATCCAATGACCGCTGGAGATGCATCAACTTCCCCGAAGTGGACGGCTGACAGTTCGGACATAAAGTCGTCATTAACTGTAAGTGGAGGCTCTGCATGCAGCTTGTACCGGGATTTGCTTATCCAGGACTGGCTGCGCACTCATACCAGTATAGTCTATTAATAACTTAGTCCATAAGTTAATGAATACGGCTGAGCATTTCTGATCAGCACATTAGTATTTATAAAACCTGTCACAAGCGCGAGTTTACCGGGAACTTGCGCTTTCAAATACGACAGCCAATCAGATCTGATTATCGGAACTTCCCGCTTTAGGATTGGTCATTCATTCCCAGCAGTTTGGGAACGCGAACGTAGTCAAACGCCACATTAACCAATCAATGAGTTGTCCACGGAGCACAGCGGCGCTCAGAGAGAGTAACATGTTTCAGTGAGGCGGACCAGACCAGCGGCAGCAGCGACAGCAGCGACCGCGGAGCCTCGGTGCGGGTCAGACGTTCACCGCAGCGCCCCGCACTCAACTAACGTGACAGGATTACTGCGCAGACACGTCCTCCACGCTGATGTTATGCGCTTCTAACTCTGCTTTGTTTTTGTTTTCCTTGATTTGTGTTGATGCTGGAGGAGAAACGTCACTGCGGCTAACCGATTCCCTTCGCTCCAGAACCGGGAATTTACAATGAAACATGTGAGGTGACACGTTTTATTTCACCACCACGCTGGGATCACAGAGGGAACCGAGCGAAGATAACTGCGGTAAAAACAAACACATTCCCTGTTTGTCTTATTAGTTTAAGGAAATGTTATATCAGAGAAGACATCGGAGTGGAAAGTCTCAAATGTTGACTGCTTTTCAGGTGGCAAATGTCATTAAAACACTGCAGGGATAACAGTTCATTCACGGGTAAATGAATCGCAGAGGTTTTAAGTGATGGCACATTTGAACCTGTTAAGGCGCATGTGTGGCGCTGCAATGTCTGTGCGCTTCACTGCTGAGCTTCTGTTTATTAACTGAGACGATAAAAAAAAATCCCCTCCGCATTGTGGATCAGTTCTACAGAGAGCTATTGTCTCCCACTCCGCCTCTTTAAAGGGGGAAAATGGTGACTGGTGCCGCATCTCTGGGATCAGCATCCTCTGCGTAAAACGGCGGGGAGGGGGTCCGGGGGGAAGAAGCATTTCATTGCTTTCATTGTATCGATGTTTGTGCTGCAGTGTGGTAGACTGTGGTTATCACGGGGGTGTTCGCTCTCATCTGCTGCCATGCATGCATACAATACAACACTGTATCCCTCAACATAATGCATCAAAAACCCTCCCATTTTATGTCTTCTGTGATGCTCTGAATGCAGCAGCAGCAGCTTCCATACATTGACTCATCTGGCTGCTTAAAATTAGGAGCTTGTATTTTCCTTCCCCTAAAAATGTGTTTTCTGCAGTGTGGAGTTTTAGGGAAATAAAGATTAATGGAATATTTGCACAAACACTGGCACACACACTCATGACCAGCTCAAAGGGGAGCATAATTGCCTCATGAATGTTAATGCATCGTCCTGATGCAGAAACACTGCAAACTAACCCGCCCCCTACTTTACTCTCTCCTGGGCCTGACAGGAGCTGGCTAGCCTTACCTGACTTATTCTGTGCCTGTGTGAATTTGTAGGCGTGCGAATGTGTGTTTGGGTATTCATCCGTGTAGGTGTGTGTGTGTAGGTGCATGTTTGTGGATGATATCACCCTGCATATTGTTGCGGGGCCATGTGTGGTTGCGGATGTGTTTTAACTAGGATCATTAGAGCAGCACACCTACACCTGTCTCATCCAGTCACTGAAGTGAGGGTGCATTAGGAAAGTGCTTCCCATCCTCTGTAATTTAGGCTCTTAAGAGTTCACTTGTTAGGCTGCATAAACTAGTTGGTGTGAAAACTGCAGAACAGTAATAAATGGAAAATTTGTTGAAATTCACCTATGATCTCCTTTAAAAAATTACAGACATACTTTCCTATTTTTTTTTACAATGAAGCTCGCACTAATGAAAACATCCACCAATATTTGCTGAATTGTTTTTAGTGTTCCTGTTCAGGATTATACATAAACAGGCCAAAAGTCTATTAAAGGACAGACACATGAAAAAAACAACCATGAACAACAGTTCATGATCAGCAGTTAGTCTAACACGCTCTGGATGATGGGAGAAAGACAGAGCACGTAAAAATAGAAAGAATATTCAAATTCCACAGTTTGATTGTAATGCAGGAAGCAGGCAAAAAAATTGCAAGTCCCAAAAGCTAAATGGATAGTTACAAATTGTTTATTTTATTCATGTTTTTAATTGTAGCAGAACCACACAGAAAGCTAAATGAGTATTTTGGATGACATGTGAAAGTATTGATCACATCAGTAATTAAACACAGCTGGCAGTGCGTATAAACAGGCTGCGGGTCGATTTGCACCTTGACTAATTTGCAGCCCCATTTACTCATCCCGACGCTGTTTCATTTTGTACATGCAAACTAATCATTTTGTGCCCTGAATATTATGTTATTTACCTTGATAATTAAGCATTTGATTAAAATACTTTCATAGTAAAGGTTCCCAGGCTGTTGCAATAAGATCACTTTTCAAGGCTTTTATCAATGCGTTCATTGAGTAGAAGCTGATATTTAATGGCAGATCTTGAGCCAAAAGTAAGTCACTATTGATATTTTATTCTGAACAACAGATGTTTCTTTTTCTTCAAACAAAGCCAAATGAATAAAACTTGACCTAAGAAATCAAACAAAAATGGCCATGAAAAAGGTCCTCTTTGTCTAGAGGACACGCCCTTCATATGACAGCAGTTGTAAAGGACAACTATTGACATTTTTACCACCTTATTAAGAAATGTTAATGTTGTGAAATCTTCCATTAAAAATTTTAATCTGGCATCTCATTCATAACACATTCGTCTTTGCTGCCAGTTGGTGTGATGAAACAAATTAATAGCTCACTTTGTGAACTGATAAATCAGTTTCTTGATTGATCCTTAAGAGAAATAATAAAAGCAGCCATCAAATGTTCTTTCTGAGAGCCGCTGAGTCACACCAGCGTCCTGAATGAGGCCAGAGTGAAAAGCTCTGCTGGACCCAGGTGCCGCCAGAGGACATGTTCTGTTAGAGTGAGGGGTGTAGCTGCACGCGATTATGCGATTTGTGCAGCACTACAGCTGAATGATCACACTTTCAAGCTGTTTGTAAGCCTCTAGACGCCTACCTTTGGGTGAAATCAGCAAGTTCTCACCCACTCTGTGCAGGCTGCTTGGAAGGCATTCTTGGAAATGCAGGGAATCACTGACAGGAGAGTGAGCAGGTCAGAGAGTTTGTGTCGCTTATAAATTGGTGAACGATACGTTCTGCAGCTTATAAATTGGTGATATAACTATCAGACTATCAAAGTGAGATGTGCTTTAAAATGCAGTATGTTCTGGGTTCTGTTTTTCAGTTGCATTCTTTAATTTCCTAAAAAGCAGACTTGTCAGGGGTTTTAAATGGCCGTGCTTTCTTTTATGATGGGTGACTCCAGCTCTCCTATAGATTGTTTGGCCTGCAAGCTCATTCCCTGCAAGCAGGAGGAGGTGGATCGTCTGCAGCTTTCACCATTCATCATGGCTGTTTTGTGAGTCAGTGGTGATTAATCTGATTGGTGGTGTTCAGGCTCCGTGTGCCCCTGAGAGTACGCCAGGAACGGGCTTATGTGCCGAGCTAAATGGCCTCGACTGCGTTGATGCTTCCGACTTTCGGAGCGTCTCAGGTGTGCGCGTCACTGTCGGACATGTGGGAACATGGCTGGTGGTGTAGTCAGCGCAGGGCTTCCTTCAGGAACAAACATTACCATGTTGGTCAGTGACTATTCCACCTGATTCAACATCTGTGGGTGTAAGCTTCAGACTATGAATTTTAAAATAGGCAGTCTTAACCCTTCACTGTTAAACAGCAGAAGAATTTCCGGTAAAAAAAGGAACAAGATGTGACTTTGTAAAACTACATGGACAAATTATTGTCTCTTTTCATAATTCTATTTTAATCTAGTTTAAGAGTTAGTTAATTAGGTATTTTTTCCTTAAGATAAATTAGGATACTTTTTACCCAGAAATGGTAAACATCAAGAGTTTTTAATGGTTTCTAAAAAATTGGAATACATACACAGAAATGTTGACTATTGGGTGTCAGCGAGTCACTGAGCTTTCATTGTGAATATGATAGTACACTATTTATAAATCATAAAATGTTATTTTCAAGCTGTTAGAATGTCTTAGGAACCTAACAGGTAATGGTTTTATCTGGCTGGAACATTTTAGATCTGACTGACTAAATTCTGGCAGTTACTGGTACCAGCAGTCATTTTGGTGACAGTCTGGGTTTTCTAGGAATTTCTTTCTGGCAGGAGCTTTCAATATTTTAAAGTGCTTTGACAGATGTATGAGTATTTGTGAAATCTGTTTTGGGTCCATTGGTGACTCTATTGGCTTTCTTTGGGTTAAAGTTATTAGTTTGCGTTTGCTCATGATGAATAACAACCAGCTGAGAATAAATGCTTACTGAATGGGTTTTATGTTCTACATTAGGACCGGGAGTAAACGCATGCTCAACATGGGCAGCATTTGTTTTACTTGTAGGTGATGTTGAATGATGCTATTTTCTCAGGATTTACTACTCATAGTTGAGCTCTAATTACAATAAAAAAAATAAAAAATAAAATCATGACAAAATTACTGGTAAATAGTCCAACAGACAATATTAATGCATTTGAACTTTTGTGTCTAGGGATCCAAAATAATGCATCAGGTGTGAAGATCTTCAAACAGGCTAAATATCTTATCGGCATCCAAAGTGTGAATTCAATGTGCCTAAAATATAATGGACAAATAATATTGCATTAGAGTGATGAAGTTCTTGTTTGCTTTTTGGTCAAACTTAAATGTTTCAGAGCCTCAAACACATTTAGCAAACACAGTTGGACTTTTGATTTGATGATCAATTTCTCAAATGATTTGTTGTATAAGTGACTTTGTTTCTCATTTGTTCTTAAATGTCTGATGTTTGGGTCAAAACAATTTTTTTTCTGCCTTTATAGATTTTAGAGAGTTTGACCTGATCATGAAAAGAGTTTTTTTTCCTTAAATAAAATAAGTACAGACTATCTTTATCTGTTATGATATTTTTTCTGATCTGAAACACAACGAAGCAAGATGAGAAGAAATGTGATTTTTGTCTTTTATTAATGAATGCTACCACAGCAGTTGTAACAACAACCACTAATGAACAATTCTTTATGAACCCCTAGTTGCTTTTTCAAAGTTTTCCCAGCATCCTGCACGACTGTTTCTGGTCGAGACAGTTCTATGAAAGAAAATGGAGGTCAGCAGCTGATGCGTGAGGGCAAATAAATCATCCAAAATACCATCTAATTAAAAATGGCTTCAGCAGCTCGTGTCATGTAACCAGAAATTCACATCAGTCGTAAATAAGGACAGAAAGCGTATCGACACACTGGAAGTGATTTTCATGCCTTGATGCATTAGATGTAATTGGTAATAGTAAACCTTGCATGGCTGCACAAAAGTGACTCCAGTCTCAAGGTATCCAGTGTTTACTGTGTGAACTCTTCCACTCTTGACTGGTCTTTAATTTTGCAAGTCGAACGTCCCTTTCTGTGCACAATTAAGCCCTTTCATATTTCTAGAATACACATAAATGTTGACAGCAAAAGTGGGGTTC